CTGACGCCCAGGAGAAGGTTGCCCTTGGGCCGGCCCGGGCTGGTGGGACCCAGCCATTGCCCGAGCTCTTTTCTGCGCGCTGGAGGGGAGTTGGGCTGCCAGGGGGGCCTTTTGCCCAGGTTTGGGTGAGCGCTGGACTTGCTCTTATGCACGTTCTAAAACTATATTTCAATTTTAATATTGTCTTTATTTGATATGTGAAATGATAGAGTTCGCATTTTGTATAGCTTGCATGGTTTTCTCCAATGACTCTTTGAATACAGGCAGAGGAACTTCATTTTATCAAATGATGGAATGGAAGCCAACATTATTAGCATGTGGGTTAATGGACAGAGAACAAAAAGAAATTATGAAAAAGATGAAATGGCAAGAGGACTTCATGAATGGCTGGCTAATAAGTAAACCTCCGCCAGATTCCAAAAAGATTTGGGTAAGTCTGCTACAAATTTATTATTATTAAAAAGAAGAAGGAGAAGATACAAATTAATTACTACGTTTGAGAACCTTCTAGATTGTTATGTATGTTACTAAACTAGGTAAAAAAATAAATTATTATTATTTCTACAACCTATAACTAATCCATCAACTTGTTGTCTCCATGGCAAACTTTGCTATTCTCAACATCGATCACCAGATCAATAATGATCAGAGCCAAGCATCTCAACACTCTACTACTTCTATTTTTGAAAACCCACATGCTTTAAGAATTTATAAGATAAAATTATTTTAATTTTTCAATTCACTCAATTAGGATGACGTATAAATTCTAGGCGGGTTTGCCTTTGGTTTATATTTAAGAACTTGGTCTTTGCTTAATTTCCCTCTTTTTCTTAATCTCCAAATTTCATCCTTTAACTACTTTATTACAGACAGAAATAGAAATAATTTCTATTAACAAAATAATAAAAAACTATTAGCCTATTATGGATGGAAATGCCATCTGAAAGAAACAAAAAAGGAAGTTGGGAAAAACAATAGCCGAAATGCACAGTAATAACCAAAAAAAATTCAAGGCCCCTGCCCTGTCCCAC